GTTCTTTAATATTTTGAGTATTAACCCCTTATTGGATATATGATTTGCAGATATCTTCTCACAATTGGTAGATTGTCTTTTCATTTCATTGCTGGTTTCCTTTGCTGTGCAGAATATTTTTAGTTTGATGTAGTCCCATTTGTTTATTATTTCTTTTGTTTCTCTTGCCTGAGGAGACATATTCAAAAAGATGGTGCTAAGACAAATGTCAAAGAACATCCTGCCTATGTTTTCTCCTAGGGTTTTTATTATTTCAGGTCTTACATTCAATTTTTTAATCCATTTTGAGTTAATTTTTGTGCATGGTGTAAAATAGTGGTCTACTTACTTCTTTTGCATGTGGACTGTCCAGTTTTCCCAACAACATTTATTGAAGAGACTTTCCTTTCTCTGCTGTATGTCCTTGGCTCCCTTGTCGAATATTAGCTGTGCATAAATATGTGGGTTTATTTCTGGGCTGTCAATTCTGTTCCATTGATCTGTGTGTCTGTTTTTCTGCCAGTACAATGCTGTTTTGATTACTATAGCTTTGTAGTATATTTTGAAATCAGAGAGTGTAGTATCTCCAGCTTTGTTCTTTTTTCTCAGGTTTACTTTAGCTATTCAGGGTCTTTTATTGTTCTATATAAATTTTAGGATTCTTTGTTCTATTTCTGTGAAAACTGTCATTAGGATTTTGATAGGGGTTGTGCTGAATCTGTAGATTGCTTTGGGTAATATGAACATTTTAACTATGTTAATTCTTCCAATCCATGAGCACGGAATACCTTTGCATTTCTTCATGCCTTTGATTTCTTTCAACAATGTCTTATAGTTTTTAGGGTCTTAGTTTTCACGTCTTTCACCTCCTTCATTAAATTTATTCATGGATGTTTTATTCTTTTTGTTGTGATTGTAAATTGGATTATATTCTTGATTCCTTTGTATGGTAGTTTGTTGTCAGTGTATAGAATGCAACTGATTTTTGTATGTTGATTTTGTACCCCGAAACTTTACTGTTTTTGTTTATTATTTTGAACAGTTTTGTTGGTAGATTTTTTTGAGTTTTCCATCTGTAAAATCAGTCATCTGCAAATAGTGAGTTTTACTTCTTCCTTTCCAATTTGGGTAGATTTTATTTCTTTTTCTTGCCTAATTTCTCTGGCTGGGACTTCCAACATGATGTTGAATGAGTGGCAAGAGTGGGCATCCTTGTCTTGTTCCTGTTCTTAGAGGAATAGCTTTCAGTTTTTCACCACTGAGTATGATGTTGGCTGTGGGTTTGTGATATATGGCCTTTACTATGTTGAGGCACTTTCCTTCTATACCCATTTTATTGAGAGATTTTTATTATAAATGAAGGTTGAATCTTGTTAAATGCTTTCTCTGCATCCATTGGCACCATCATGTGATTTTAATTCTTCAATTTGTTAATGTGGTGTATCAAATTGATTGATTTGTGGATGCTGAATCTCTTTGCATCCCTGGAATAAATACCACTTGATCTTAGTGTACAATCTTTTTAATGTATTGTTGTATTTGATCTGCTAATATTTTGTTAAGGATTTGTGCATTTATGTTCATCAGTAACATTGGCCTGTAATTTTCTTTTTTTGTATTGTTCTTGTCTGGTTTTGGTATCAATGGCAACCAAATGAAAGCAGGTATAGCTATACTTATATCACACAAAATAGACTTCAAGCCAAAAAAGATAACAAGAAACAAAGACGGACATTATATAATGATAAAGGGGACAATCCACCAGGAAGATATAAAATTTGTTAATATATATGCACCTAACATAGGAGCACCAAAGTATATAAGGCAATTATTAACAGACCTAAATGGAGAAATTGACAGCAACACAATAATAGTTGTGAACTTTAATACCTCACTTACTTCAATGGATAGATCATCTAGACAGAAAATCAACAAGGAAACATTGGCCTTAAAAGAAACACTAGACCAGGTGGACTTAATAGATATATATGGGACATTCCATCCAAAAGCAGCAGCATACACATTCTTCTCAAGTGCACATGGAACATTCTCAAAGATAGACCATACGTTGGGAGACAAAACAAGTCTTAATAAATTTAAGAAGACTGAAATCATGTCACGTATCTTCTTTGATCATAATTATATGAAACTAAAAATCAACTATAAGAAGAAAGCTGTAGAGATTAAACAACATGCTACAGAACAACTATTGGATCAATGAAGAAACTAAAGGAGAAATAAAAAAAAAAAAACCTGGAGACAAATAAAAATGAAAACAAACATACAAAAATCTATGGGATACAACATAAGTGGTACTAAGAGGGCAGTATATAGCAATACAGGCCTACCTCAAGAAATAAGAAAAATCGCAAATAAACAATCTACACTACACCAAAAAGAACTAGAAAAAGAAGACCAAATGGAGCCCAAAGTCAGTAGAAGGAAGGAAATAATAAAAACCAGAGCAGAAATAAATGAAATAGAGACTAAAAAGACAACAAAAAAGAGCAATGAAAATAAAAGCTGGTTCTTTGAAAAGATTTTTAAAAATGACAAACAGCTACACTCACTAAAAAAAAAAGAGAGAAGGCTTAAATAAATAAAATCAGAAATGTAAGAGGAGAAATCACAATGGAAGCCACAGAAATGCAAAGGATTATAAGAGAATACTATGAAAGCCCAACAAATTGGACAACCTAGAAAAATGGATAAATTCTTAGAATCATACAACCTTCCAAAACTGTATCAAGAAGAAACAGAGAATTTGAATAGACCAGTCACTAGTAAAGAGATTGAAACAGTAACCAAAAACCTTCCAAAAACAAAAGTCCAGGACCAGACAGCTTCTCTGGTGAATTCTAGTAAACATTCAAAGAAGATTTAATACCTATCCTTCTCAAACTCTTCCAAAAAATTGAAAAAGAGAGGGCACATCCTGACTGATTATTCCTCTTTCAATCCTTGGCAACCAATAGGAAGATCCCGGGGTCACTAATTAAGTCAGCATACATCACAGCAGTAGGTGAATGCAGTATCATGACAGAGTGGGGGTCAGAAGACTTGGAGTCTAACCCTAGCTCTGTTGCTGACTGGCTGTGTGAGGTTGGACACATCACTTCAGCTCACTGAACCTAGCTACTTCATCGTAGGATGAAGGATTTGGACAGAATTAGTGGTTCTCAAGTGCTGATGAGGTGCGGTGGATTAGAATCCCCTGTGGGGTTTTTATAACCTGTACAAGGGTCAAAATATGAGATGGAGGAGAAATGTGTACTCTGAAAACGATCCTTCAGATGAGAACCATTAGATTATAAATTGGGGTTAAAAGGGCTGGCCAAATGTGACCCACAGAAGTATTTTGCTTGGTCTGTGGAATGCTTTAAAGTCTTTGAATGTGAATGGCTTCAACGAAAGGGGGCAGCTCTCTACAGACTCCACCAACTCTGTTGACTTATATGCACCCTCATTCACTCACTTGTGTTACCTGCCTGGTCCCCGACTCCTGTAATCCCTATGTTAGACGATCTCTAAAGTCGTCCCCAGATCTCTAATCCATGGATCAGTACATTTCTGAAGTCCTCACTGTCTCCAAAATTCTATGGTTCCACATGGCTTTCCTTTCAGACCCGAGCACATGAAGTGTCTTGAAAGGGACTCCAGGGATGGTCTCTGACGTTCTCTCTGTGGTAATAAGAAATGTTAATACACTGCGAGTCCTGCCTCTTCTCCAAAACTAGAAATTCAAAGGAGGCTTCAGGACCTACTAACTCTGCTTCTAGATGTCCTGATGGTCGGGGCAGGAGGGAGTCTGGCCCAATACTGAGATACGAATATAGTGAGAAAGGAGGGTGTGGTCGATGGGATTATCGTTTCTAAATCTTCACTCCTCCTAATTCTTCACATTTTCTGCATTGTGTCTTTGTAGTATCTCTCACTAGAATATGAACAGCCCATTTCCCTGCCCCACCAGGGTTGGGGTCATCCATACAGTTCTCTTTAGGCTGATAGGATACTAATGGACATGATGTAAGCAGAGACTTGACTATACTTTCCTGATTTGGTTTGGATTTTCACACTGAACTACCATGAAAAAAGCATGCCCTAAGAAGATGCTACTCCTTCAGTCTGGGAAATAAAGAACAGACTTGCACTCAGCCTGTAGCCTAGCCCAGCTCATCCACCATCTGAATCAGAACCATCCTGGCCAACACATAAACTTGTGGGTGAAAATAAAAGTGTGTTCTTGTAAACCATGACAATTCGGGGATTATTTTTTATGCGGCATTATTACGGCAATAGCTGACCACTGCAAGAAGGGAAGGTTGATGATCTCAGTGTGATGTTGCCAGATGGAAGTAAAAGGCATCTGGCCATCCTGTAGGCTCCTCAGAACAGCCATGCAGTGTGTACCATGCACACACCTCCTCTCTTCTGCTGTAGCAGAAGGCATGAGGAATTAAGGTGAGGTTTCCTTTCTGAATTCCCACAATCTTTTCCTCTATCTCTGAGACAACATGTAATGTAACACAGACTGCCTTGTTCTAGATTTATCCATGTGCCATACCTGCTATTTTCCCTCTCAACTATAAGCTCCTGGAGAGCAAAGACTACGTCCTGATCATTTTGTATCCCGTAGAGCATGTAGTAGAGCGATGGACGTTTCGTTGACTTGAAAAATACTCGGTGTTGAGTTGAGAAGAATAAAGTGGGCCCACCCCGTGGATGACAAACAGCCCTGAGAGATGCTGAAATCACAGCCAGGGCTGAACCATTAAAACCACAAGGGTGGTTCCCTTTTGGCCACAGTCTCCTGGACCATGAGGTCTTGTCAGTTCTCTGAGCCTGTCCTGCCTAAGGACACACTTAATGAAGGCCCTTCAGGAGAGAAATCTGCAGAGACAACCCAATCCCTACAGCAAGCACACATTAAGCACCTGCTGAGTACTGGCTCCACTCCAGGAGCAGCCTGGGTGAAACTGTTTAAGGTGGCTGGAAAGTCCTTAGAGAGGAAGGACACTTACCTGAGAGCTGGGTGGAGCAACCAAATTGATTCCCGGAGGGGCTGCCAGCGTTCCTGAGGGTGGGCCCATGGCAGAAGTGATGACTCGATATGGAGAACCCAGGGCATTAAGGGGGGTCCCCACTGCACTCAGAGTCCGTGGGGCACTCACTGGGGTGTCCGTGTAGCTGGAGTGGCTGTCCATTGGTTTCCCTGTGGACAAGGCTGCCGATGGGCTCATGGACGTGGAGCCAGAGTGGCCGGGGGAGCCTGTAAGGAGAAGAAGAGCATGGGTGATGGAGGCTGTGGAGCACCTGTGAGGACAGAGCCCCCACTTTTGTTTCCTGCATCTTTACCCTTTTTCCAGCCACATCTGCATACCTGTGAACCCAAGGTGCTCACACTTACACTGAGCTGGTCAAATAAAGGCAAGCAAAGAACAGAGAGGGAAGAGGGCCCGCTCTAGGACAGAAATACTCATTGAAGTTTTACTTCTCTGGTGCCCTGCCTGGAATCCACCTTGGATTGCATCAGATCAACAGCCAGGGCCACAAGGGACACAGCCTACAAGCCTCTGGGCCTGGGCCACTGTGGCCTGGGCCGGCCAGACAGGGAAGGTGAGTCAATATCAAACCTCCAGGTCGGGGGTGGAGTGAGCACGTGCCCAGGCTGCTCCAGAATTCCCTGCCTCAAGCTCATATTGCTCTGAGAATTGGGGCAGGGCTAAGCCTGCAAGTCAGGAGAAATTCATTCACTCACGTGCAACAAGCATTTATTAAGGTGCAGGTACTATGCCAGGTGCTGGGGATTCAGAGCTGAAGAGAAGACACTTCCTCCTGTCGGGGTCACATTCCATAATGATGATGGGGAGGGCAGAGGCTATTATGAGACTCTCGACTGACTGAATCTTTTGCAGCCTTATGCCCATTAGGTTCTTGTCCTGCTTGTGTCTATAGCACAGGGTTTATCAACCCTCAGGGAAGAAGGCTCAGGAGGGCTGAGCATGGCTTAGTGACCACAGAGGCCCAGGAAGGCAAGTGTGGACAGGCCTGTGCAGACCATTTCTGCTTCCAGGGATAAGGAGCTGTGGCCAGAAGCGTGTGTGGAAGGGCTCTGGGCAGATGGTCATCTGGTACCATTTTTCCCAGACAGGTTGAGCCCAAGTTCTCTTATGGTCAGTCACAACTCAAGATGAAAGAGAAGGAGGGTTCCCCACTGTCATCTCAGGAGCCCAGCATGGAACATTCTCTCCAGAAGAGAGGAGCTATAAACCTCAGGATCTGCAGCCCCAAAGCAGAGATGAAAATCAAGAGGGCAGTCCACCCGGAGTCACAGTACTGGGTCGCTGCATGGGTCCATGTTCGTCCAAGGACTACCTCTTGAGTGCCTACTCCATGCAGGGCACAGTCCTGAGCCTTTAGGAGACATCAGTGGGCACGAAGTGTAACGTTAGGAGTAGAACGCAGCGGGGGATGTGCTCCCTTCCAATTCTGGAGGCGGGTAGGGAGCGTCAGAAGTATATTCTTTGTTTTTATTGGGATATAATTGACATATAACATTATACAGTTTCAGGGGTACAACATAACAATTTGATATTTGTACATATTGCAAAATGGTTACTACAAGAAGTCTAGTTAACATCCATCACTACAGATAGTTACCCTTTTTTTCTTATGATGAGAACTTTTAAGATCTACTCTGTTAGCAACTTTCATACATACAACACAGTATTATTAACTATAGTCACCATGCTGTACAGTACATGCCCAGGACTTATTTATTTTATAACTGGAAGTGTGTACCTTTTAACCTCCTTCACCCATTTCACCCACCTCCCACCCTGGCCTCTGGAACCATCAATCTGTTCTCTGTAGATATGAGTTTGACTTTTTTTTTTAGATTCCACATATAAGTGAGATCACATGGTATTTGTTTTTCTCTCTCTGACTTATTTCACTTAGCAAAATGTGCTCTAGGTCCATCCATGTTGTCACAAATGGCAATATTTCATCTTTTTTACAGCTGAATAATATTCCACTGTGTGTGTGTGTGTGTGTGTGTGTGTGTGTGTGTGTGTGTATTTATATGCCACATTTTCTTTACCCACTCATCCATTGATGGACACTCAGGTTGCTCCTCCGTCTTGGCTAGTATGAATAATGCTGCAATGAACATGGAGGTGCACCTATCTTTTGAGTTCGTGTTTTCACTGTGGAACTATTCTTAAACATAAACATCCCACTGGAAAAATGTCAACCTGGAGTTTCTCTTGGAGCTTCTGCTAGCTTAGTCGAGGTCCACCTGTGGAGAGAACAGTCACTCCCACATCCAGGGAAGCTGTGACCTTCTAGTCACTCTACCTAGAGAGTTTCAGTCTCTCAGGACAACTGTCTCATGAACAGATAAATCCCCATCATCGTGTTCTAAGTACCACAACTGAGGATGAACCACATGCTGTGGGTCCACAGAGGAGTGGTGAAGGCGTTCAAATGAACACGTCAGACACTTACTACACGTCCTGAGTAGCATCAGGCAATTTCCAAACATTAACCCATTCTATCCTGACAATGAGGCTGTGAGGACCGTTTCAACCTTTTACAGATGAGAAAACTTAGGCTCAGTCTTATCCCCATGCTGCTTCCTAGGGTGACTTGTCCCCACCTCCATTGTCTAGCAAGCTCCTATTCATCCTTCAAGGTCTAACTCAAGTGTCACCTCCTCCAGAAAGCCTTCCCTGGTGTTCCTGGTCTGGTTTGATGCCCTTTTCTGTTTCCTAATAACAGCCTGCGCTTACTTGTATCTTAGCACTTAGTGTACTGTGTTGCTATATTTGTTTATTTCCCTGTCTTTTCGACTAAACTGAGAGGGGGGAAAAATAGTGCCTATTTTTGTTTCCCCACTCGTAGCACGGTAGCTGGCACTGCCTGGGTAGGAAATGGCAGAGCCTAGACTCAAACTGTTAGTCTGCAGCCCACGCTGTCTCCTGTGTGTGCTGTCAAGGACAGCAAAGATGATTTGGAGAGCCATCGCAACGCAAAGTACAAGATGACTCCATTATGAAGTGATCTCAAGCTGAAAGTTCATCTGAAGGAGAGAGAAGAGGGCAGCTTCCAAGACCTCGAGCCAGAAAAACCAACAATCTTCCCAGACGGCCACCAAGTGGAAAGAACAATCTTAGACTCTTCTGCAGCCCTGGAAGGCGGTGACATTTACAGAGGCCCATGTATACCTTGAGCCTGTTACTAAGATAACATGTGACAGGTGAGGTAGGAGCCAGCCCGACTTGATGGGCGAGGGAGGAGCCGTGAACTCCGCTGGGACGGCAGCTGTCCTTCTCCACTGCCAGGCCATCTGAAGGAAACCGACTTTCCCTGCCAGCTTTGGCCTTCCAAAAACAGACCGAAGGGCCCTGCACTCCCCTTTATATTCTGCTTTACATGGATCTCAGAGAGACTGTGCCTCTCATTTCTGTATCCCCAGGGCGAAGGCCAGTGTCTGACACCAGACCCAGAGCTATGGGACAGACAGCAACAAGGTGCTGCTTCACACATTCACCCACCCAAGAGTTTCCAAGGCGTAAGACGGTGGTAACAGACATTTTAGGTGGTATTTTAGGTGATATGGAGGCAAATTTTTAAAAAATATTAATAGTTTTATGTTTATTTTTACTGTTGCCTTCTGTTTATAGCAAGCGACTGGGCTTCTATTTTTGTATAAAATTATCCTCCTAAAAATAGCTATTTAAGTCTTCAAAAAGAGAGTAAATTGACCCAAGAAAAAGTCTACGTGCAAGGACACTCGCTATGTAGAATATCATGAAAATAGTATGCAAAGGAATAATGCTTAAGAGAAATATCAGCCGCACAAAAATATATAAATATGGACTTTGGAGAACTCAGAAGCTGTTTCAAGATTCAATTGAGATGATGTGAGAGAGATTTTAAATTAAAAGTGCACGGTTTTATTATTATTAATAGTGATAAAAAGTTAAGACAATCAGGGTATGCCTTGACTGCTCAGTGATGAAAATGGTGCACAGTTGTAGAAGGAAATAGTGAGTTAAAGTTTGGTTTGCAATGGCCTTAAAAATGTGGTTTATTTCTGCTGAGTCAGTGACTCAGAAGAAGCAGGCGACTTTATAACCACTTTTTTAAAAAAATAAAATTCAAAAAGACAAATATAGGGGCTGACCTGGTGGCGTAGTGGTTAAGTTCACAACCTCTGCTTCAGCAGCCCAGGGTTTGTGGGTTCAGATCCCAAGTGTGGACCTACACACTACTCAGTCAAGCCACATTGTGGTGGCATCCCACATACAAAATAGAGGAAGATTGGCACCAGTTGTTAGCTCAGGGCCAATCTTCATCACCAAAAAAAGAAAAAAAGAAGAAGAAGAAGAAGGACAAATACATCTTACACAAATGCATTTTGGTTCTTTGCCTCTCACAATGACCCAGTGGTCCTTAGAAACAAATACCTTTGCTTTTAGAAAAGGTGGAAAATAATGCCTTTAATGACAAAGTGTTTCTCCCTGGAAAATTAATCTGTTCTCACAAATAGACCCTAAAGCGTGCCCGTCCATGACATTTTCATCAGCCTCTTTTGCTCCAGCTCATTCTTTTTTCATAGCCACATGGGAACTATGGCCAGTACTAAAAGGCACCACAAGTTTTCTAGAAACCTGGTTTTTAGTCCAAATTCAAAGTCAAGATTTGCTCTAATGCTTCTCCCTGGCCTCTGCATCCCATCAGGCTTACTTACTCCCTGACCCACACCCTGTAGATCCTCTTTAACCGCTCACAGCATGCCCACTGCCAGACGCCTGGGAAATGCACAAATTCTGTACTCCACAGAGTTCATTCTCTTTGCTCAGGCAATGATTTTTCTAAAAATCAACTTAGCCGATGGAAAAGGAGCTTCTCTTCTCCCTTGGCAACATATCTAAGAAAAGTCTTTCTTATTCCTGGGCCTCACGCTCCCCAGTAAGGAGCCGGCACTCGGGGCCTCTAAATCCCTTTCAGCACACTCCTGTGAACATTGAGGTAGGAAATGGCTCATTGGCATCTAAAAGAAGGAAGTGCAGGTGACGGCAGTCTGGAATGGTCTGAGTCTGGACCACTTGCCAAGAAACCCCAGTCATCACACCCTGGGCAATGTTAGACCTCCAGGTTGCTGGGGATCCCAAATTGCAGTCTGAGATGCCGAGAGCGTCACCAGGAACCAAAACCCTTATGCAATCTGCAGGGTACACACACTACACTGATTTCTAAAGT